AGCAGTTGGTGTGGGGGGTGCTGGCCCCCCCCGAGTGGGCAGTGGACAACTGCTTGGAGCCGGGAACATGGTGGGGAGACTCAGAGCAGGACTTGGCTTTGGCTGCCTGGTTCACGGCCTTCACGGTCTCGAAGACGCGCTGGTAGCTCCTGTGGGCAGGAAGCAGCTCGGGGTGAGCCGGACCCCTGTCCCACGGCACAGCAAGAACCATGGATGATGATGGCAGCACTCACTTGTAGTCTGAGGAGGAGCTGTCTGTCCTCTTTCTCATCATGCCCTTGATCTCAGCCGCCAGCGAGTCCTGCGGAGCGGGGTAGGCAGTGTCAGTGCCGGGGGGGCAGCAGGGACCCCCCGGCCGCCCGAACCCCGCGCTCACCACGGGCAGGAGGCTGGCCGCGCTGTAGCGGCTGACGGTGCTGTTGGGCAGGCTGCGGCTCCGCAGGCTCTTCACCTCCTCCCGGGCCTCCTGCAGCATCCCGCCGCACTCCGCGTACTTCTCCTGCAGATCCCGCAGCTGCGAGGACGCGGGCACAGCTGGAGCACGGCCCCGGGGCAGCGGGGCAGGACCCCCCCGCCAGGCCGGGCTCCCCCGGGCTCACCTCCATCCGCAGCTGCTGCTGCACCTCCCTGGCCGCGCTCAGGTGCTGCTGGAGCTCCTCCACCTCGGAGCCGTACTGCGGGCAGGGGAGGCCGGGTCAGGGCGCTGCGCCCGCACCGCCCTCCCCCCGGCAGGGCAGGGACCCTCACCGTGCGACATTTCTGCTGCAGGTCCGCCACCTGCGCCAGGAGCTGCGTGATCTCCTCCTGCTGCCGCGCCGCGTCCTCCGCCCTGTGCGCCAGCTCCTCCGACAGCTGAACGACCCGCTGGCTCGCCTCGGCTGTGGGAGGGCCGGGTCACCGCCGGGCACGGCCCCCGGCCCTAGCCCAGCAGCTGGGCAGTGCCCGCCGGGCAGTGCCTGCACACCCCCGAGCCCTACGTACAAAACTGCTCCACGCAGTCGATCATCAGCTGCTGCTCCTGGTCCTCGTACTGACAGGTCTCAGTGGCGATGTTGGTGGCCTGGGGGAGAGGGATGGAGGGGCTGAGTGTGACAGGCAGGACCTCCTGTCTCCCTGAGGGGGCAGCTCGGGTCCCCCCATAGAGAGCAGGGCATAGGTGGGCACCGAGGGGCATCTGCCAGCTGGCTCTGCTCACCTCCATACGGAGCTTCTGGTTCTCCTCCTCCAGGCACTTGAGTTTCTGCTGCAAAGTGTCGTACTGGAAGTACTGCTGCAAGGACAGCGAGGACTCGTTCCTGCGCAGCCTGGGGACAGCAGGGATGGCCTGAGCACCCGCAGTGCAGGCAG